TTTAGCCTCTCTGTACCTCAGTATTTTTGTAAGTGGGATCATTATTACTACCAGCACATGTTAGGTTCCACAGAGCTAAAATTGAAGTGCTATCATGCCTCCAACACGTACCCCATGCTTCATTTGGGGATTCTCTGCACCCAAATTATAATCCTGTATATTATAATAACAAGAACCATCTGCCTATTTTTGATCCACAATAATTATTTATAACACTGCCTTTTTTCCCCCCAGTAGATGCCTGGAGTTTGAATCTGTTTAGCATAATCTCCTAGAATCATCTCACTTTCTTTGGGAAAAGTGAGTCTCCAAATTTGGGAGACTCCAGTTTAAGTATCAGAAAGAGTTAAAGGACCATCAGACAAACGTTTGACTGAAATTTTCCCCAGGATAAAAGCAGGCAGAGTCTCACTAAGAGTGACAATAATAACAGGACAGGGAAGTCCCCCTAAGGACAAGGGGTAAATACAAGGAGATTTGAAATAAGATGAAAATATGGAATTCAGAAGACGTACAAGAAAAATCATTTATTGGCTCACTGTAAGCATTTCCCAAAACACTGGGATTCCAATTCTAAGTGAGCAAGGTTTTATCCTTCTAGAGAAGGAAAGGGCCATTCGTTTGCTTTCCATAGCTTTTTGGAAAATATCTCTGTGTAGCTCGTATCCAACAGTCATCAGGCATCTTCTCATTCTAATTTGCTTTCCTTAGCAGACTTTCATGCTAGAGGGAAATGCCCTCTGCTGGTGTGAGAGTTCATAGGCCAAATCCTTCTCGCATTCTAATTTGGTACCTTGTAATTGGTTTCTTGTTACTGAACAGTCCTGTGTGATATTGGGTGATAATGTTACACGGAGGCCTGAACTGGGGCGGGACTAGCATTAAACTAGTTAGGGCCAGCATTCCACATCAATAGCATATACGTGGCTATATTCGGGGGTTCCAAAAGTCTTTCTAATCCCAAATGATCTTTGCTGCCCAACTGCTATAATGCCTGAAATGCTACCATAAATTTATCCCATTAGCCTACAGTTCCTGGAGTTACCAAAATGTAAGTTCAGTTTAACCTAATAAACTCTTACTGGGTGAACTTTTAGTGTAGAACATAGTGATGGGTACTCTGAGTGAGAAAACAAAAGTAAAAGTTGGGATGATGATTCAGTAAGTTTATCCATCACCCTCAACAGCCGAAAAACGAAGTGTAAGATGCAGTGAAAAGTTAATATATAAAAAAATGCCCAAAGGAGTGATAAGGACTCTTACACAATAAAAATTCAAAGAACTGAATGATTAGTAGGTGCTGGAGTAGCCAGACATATGACCTGCATCAGGACTTCAGAGCTAAGTACTCCCTTCGTGGTGGTCATAAATGATTTAGGTTTCACTGGTGAATTAGCTATCCAGACTCCTTGAAAAGAGAAAAATTTAGAATGAATTCAATGGCACTTCTCAGGGGCTTACTAGAGAATAGCTTACATGGGAGACCCCAGGACAAATACCTGGGGACTGAACTGTGTGGCAGCCAAAAAGTTTCCAAGGACAAATTTGTTTGACTATTTGCATAGGGATGTCAGAGCTTTGTTGGATGGTACCCTGCAGGTACCTTGACATACCCAAAGCTCTGTTTGAATAACTAATACAGTGAACAGTGAAATGGCCCTATGCATAATCTGGTAAAGTGCTTGAGAATCCTGATGTGAAAGGCAGACTGGAAAATGTCCTTGTTGAGATTTCCTTCCTTCCTTCCTTCCTTCCTTCCTTCCTTCCTTCCTTCCCTCCCTCCCTCCCTCCCTCCCTCCCTCCCTTCCTTCCTTCCTTCCTCCCCTCCTTCCCTCCCTCCCTCCCTCCCTCCCTTCCTTCCTTCCCTCCCTCCCTCCCACCCTCTCACCTTTTCTTTCTTTTCTTCTTTTCTTTCTTCTTTCTTTCTTTCTTTTCTTTCTTCTTTCTTTCTTTCTTTTTCTTTCTTTCTTTTCTTTCTTTCTCTTTCTTTCTTTATTTCTTTCTTCTCTCTCTCTACCTGTCTTCTTTTCTTCTTTGTTTTTTTTTGAGGCAGAGTGTCACTATGTTGCCTGAGATAGTCTAAAACTCCTACGCTCAAGTAATCTTCCCACCTCGGCCTCCCAAAGTGCTGAGACTACAGGCATGAGCCACCATGCTCAGCCACTGTTGAAATGTTGTAAGCAATTGTTAAGGACTGCAACCCCAAATTCATATATTGAAACCCTAACCTCCACTCTGATGGTACATGGAGGTGGGGCCACTGGCTGGTAGTTAAGTTTAGATGAGATCATGAGGGCGGAGCCCCCAGGATGGGATTAGTGTATTCGTAAAAGGAGATTATCATGCTCTCCTTCCTCCCAACCCTTTCTCTGCCAAGTGAGGATACAACAAAAAGACAGCCACTGGCCAACCGGAAAGAGGGCTTTAACCAGACACTAAATCTGTCCGCAACTTGGTCTTGCACTTTCCAGCCTGCAGAGTTGCTGGGTCTGTCCCACAGACCCTGGCCAAGTGACAGATGAAAGGAGTACTCAGACACAGGTATACAGTGTAAGACCAGCTAGGGGGCTGCCAGCTCCAGTGGCCAAAGAGAGCAGCCTCGGACAGCTGGAGCTGCTTGCTTTTATTCAGTGCAGCCATAACAGCGAAAGCCTGGAGCAAACACAATCCGCCAGTAAGTAACATTGCTGTTCCCCCTTTCAGGGATCAGTCATGTGCATGGACGATCAAAGGTCGGTTTCTGGACAACATGAGTAGACAAGCCTATTTAGATAAATTCCCCTAGACTCTCTTGCACCTACTCCTTTCCCTCCGCCTCAGGGTAAGAGAACATCTGCCTTCAGCTTATTCTCCCCCAAAGTTTTGCAGAGCTTCTGACCTTTCAAAAGGCCTATTCCTTTCCCTATAGCTTCTCCCACCACTGACTGATCTTCTACACAGAATGATGAGAAATAAATGTTTGTTTTTGAAGCCACCCTGTCTATAGTATTCATTCTAGTGCAGACAGACTAATACGCAAATCAATATAAAACACCCCGTGGGAAAAAAAAGGAATGCTTTCAATATTTTCCAGTAAAAAAGAACTTATAATAAAAATTTGACATTGTTTGACAGGAAGGAAGGCTTCTGTTTCTAGTTTTTTAGTTAACTTGACAGTGAAGTTCAAGTTTCACAGTTTAAACTTTCTCTGGGTTGAAATCATCATTGCCAGGTGTGGGAAGAGGAAGCAGGACCCACACAGGACTCAGGAGGGCATTTAGGTCATTCTACTCAGGCCCTTGCCATTCTCTTCCTACTCCTCTTAAAGAAAGGGAGGCTTTGACGTCAGGTGTGGGTGAGTCATCTTTCCTCCCAGGGCCTCCGGCTGGGATTTGCAGGCAACTATTCTGTTAGTCATTCACAAAAAAGCATCCTGGAAAAGCTGAAGGGAAATGCTTGGATGGACAAGTGATTAAATGTCTATTTTCACGGCAGAGAACCTGCTGGCTTGCTCACAAAAGCAGCCGCATCCAGTACCAGGCACCCCAAGGGCACCCAGTAAATGCTTGTAGATTCACTGACAGAAAGATTTGCTGGGTTTTCTTAAATCTTGGTGTTGAAACTGAATTTTCAGATATGATTATGTGGCTGGTCGATACGATTTTGTGCCTATTTACTTCTCCATGCTCAAATGTCAACTCAAATTTATTGGATTTACAGAAATAGCTTAGTAACATTGCTGGCCCTACTCTCACGAACGTTGTGAGAGGACAATGAATAAGGCCCTTTCTGAAGCTTCATCTGCAGGGGTACATATGGGATTCAATGGAAAGAAAGGTGAACTGTGAGCTAAGAATTAATCTCTCTCTGCTCCAGTAAGCCCTCTGCAATCATTTGATCTCTTTTGAGAATCTGTTAGGGAAAGGAATAAAAATATCTTCTTATCTGCCAGAAATGCAGGGAAACAAGAATGAAGCAAATGGAAGAGTGTGAGTCCTACATTCTTCCAGCCTGAGACAGGATATAGCCTTATTGCTTTGCCTGCAGTGAACTGACAGGGAATCTGAGATGCAGAGAGGCGTGGTGAATTAGCCAGCGAAGTCTAGCAACTGTGGCCCGAGCCCTCTTCTCTTTTTCCTCTCTTAGGCGATCTCCACAGGTTTATAGATCAGCTACATCCATGGCTCGTAGCTTTCTATCTCCAGCCCTTCTTCACATATATAACTTGTGCTTTACACTTTAATGTGAAGGTCCAATAGGTATTTCAAACATAACATTCACATGGAAACTCATGACTTTCCCCTCAAACATGCTCCTTCCTGTCTCCCTTAGGAGGGACTACCGTTTAGTTATCTAAACCAAAAAGTCTAGGAGTCATCCTTGATTCCGCGGTTCTTTTCATCCCCCTTAGATACAATTCAGTATTAAGACATATTCTTTCTCTCTTTTCTTCTATCTATGTCCACAGCCAATACCCTAGAATAAAACATGCTCCTTTCTCACTGGGTGGACAGCAGTCGCTCTAGTCTCTCTTATTTTACTATTGACTCCTATTGATATAAGAGTTAAGAAGAAATTCCTTAGGCAGATAGTGAAGGTCCTTGGTAAGCTTTTGCCTTTTAATAAAAAGCAGCCCCAAATCATTTTCTAACAAACAGCAGCCTTGGTAAGCTTTTCCCTTAGCTTATAGGCTGGGCCCTATTTATGAGCTTCCTTTGCCCTCCTGTACCCACCACCACTACCACATCCAACCTCCTTGCCTGCCTGTTTCATTGGTGGGAATCCAACCATGGCCCTAATTGTGCCTGAGCTTGACTTTCAGTCAGGACCACAGTGAGCATTAAATTATTATTCCATTAAAAAAACAAAAAAAACAAACGTAGTGTGACGAAGTTACTAACTCAGTAGTCATTCTCAATCAGGTGCTCTTGGGGACCAGGGGCAGCACGTTCTCCACCCACCACGTGCTGAGAATGCCCTCCCATCTGCTGCGCCGGGGCGCCTGCTGCTTCCTCCCCGTCATGATGCTTCTCTGGCGACTGCCACTGCCGCCGCCGCCGCTGCCGGGCTGAGGACAGGGAGGGAGGGGCGGCGGGCCCGCGGGGGGGACGAGGCGGGCCTGCTCTCAGCCTCCCCTCCTCCGGAGAGCCGCCACCCGCAGGATGCTGCTGCGCCCAGGCTCTCTGCGTCCCCCCCGCGCCGCGCTCCGCCGCGAACCCCGAACGTGCGGAGGGAAGAAGGAGGGCGGGCGAGGGAGGCTCGCGGAGGGAGGAGCGCAGGGGGGAGGAGGAGGCAGAGAAGGAGGAGGAGGAGGAGGAGGAGGAGGAAGAGGAGGACCGCGCTGCCGGCGGAATGGGAAGTTTGACAAATCGCTCCAGAGGCCGGAGGAGGAGGGGGCGGGGAGGAGAGGCGGCCCTGCCCACCCCCCCCCCGCCCCCCCCCCCCGCGCCCCGTCCCCTGACGAGGTGCGCGGGGTTCGGGGCTGGGGGCCGGGGAGAGGGGGAGAGGGTGGGCAGAGGGGTGGGAGGAGGAGAGCTGGAGCGGCCCGGGCCGCTCTTCTTTTTTTTTTTTATTCCTGATTTTATTATTCAATTTCTTTTTTTCACTTAAAGTAGTCTTCCGTGGCTGGGAAGCCTTGCCTCCCAAGACCAGAGTCAGCTGGAGCTGGTTGTTGTTGGAAGGGAGTGGCCTGGGGAACTGGGGAAATAGGGGTCCTTGGTAAGCTTTTCCCTTTTAATAAAAAGCAGCCCCAATTCATTTTCTAACAAACAGCAGTCTGTAAAATCAAGCTGCAGACATAGACAAGGAAGCTGGAAGTTTGCAGGGGTGAATGCCAGTAAGGAAGAGCTACCTGGGACTAGGCATGTTCAAAATGGCTGCTCCATCTTCCCTTCCCTTTGCCAGCCATGTCTACAGTAATGAGCAGACAAGATAGCACCAGTCAAGTGGAAAGTCTATTTGCATAATAAGATTGGTGGGGGGCGGGTAGAGGGGTTGTAGGGGGGTGTCCAGCCTTCTCCACATGCTACGTAAACATCACACCTGATCAAACCAATCGGTGAGCCTTATGTAAATCAGACACTGCCTTTTCAAGGCTGTCTGTAAAATCCAGTGAACTCTGCTGCCGGCCAGTCTTTGCTCTCTGAAGCCCTTCTCTCTCACTGGAGAGAGAACTGTTCTCCTTTCTCTTTCTTCTACTGATTAAGCCTCTGCTCCTAATCTCCTCATGGGTGTCTGTGTCCTAAACTTTCCTGGCCTGGTACAACAAATCCTGGCTATTTACCCAAGACAATGAAATCACTTCACTATGCTGTATGCATGCTGCAAAGGAAAGTTGGTATAAAATTCTTCTTAAAGAAAATTCAGGCAATTTATTAAATATAAAATATTATGTATCTGTATTTCACTTAAGGGAACAATGATTTATTGGTCTTCATAACAACTGATCCATGCAACAATACTAGTAGTCAACACTAAGTTTAACTCTATTTTCAGACCAACCGTGGAACTGTAGATTAGAGGACATGTGGGACCTTGCATCCTAATTCCTAAATTTACAGTCAAAATGTTTTCAGAGATAAGTATTATGAAATCCATAAGAAGCTAAAATAAGTTATTTATTTATTTATTTTTGAGATGGAGTCTCGCTTTTGTCACCCAGGCTGGAGTGCAATGTTGTGATCTCAGCTTACTGCAACCTCTGCCTCCTGTGTTCAAGTGATTCTTCCGCCTCGGCATCCCAAATAGCTGGGATTACAGGCGTGTGCCACTCCACTGAGCTACTTTTTGTATTTTTAATAGAGCTGAGGTTTCACTATGCTGGCCAGGCTGGTCTCAAACTCCTGACCTCAGGTAATCCACCTGCCTCGGCCTCCCAAAGTGCTGGGATTACAGGTGTGAGCCACCGCACCTGACTCTACCTCTTCTTGAATGTGTCTCTTTTCCATCTTTTAGATCTCAGCCCTAATGTCCCTTCCCTGAGAAACCATTTCTGGGTACCCTTTCTAAAGCAGCAGTCTCTCTGGCTCCCTCAGTCCCTGTGTATCATATCATTGGTTAATTCCTCTGTAGAATTAACCACATACTGAAATTATTCAGCTTATTTATTTACTCGTTTATTATATCTCCACTATCTCTTGCTTGTTTCCAAGTAAGTGACCTCCATGTGAATGAGGGCCTTGTCCTTACAAGGGGCAACTGTGGAGCAGTGATTAAGCTCTCATACTCCGGAAATAGACTTCTCGGATTCATAGCCCAGCTTTGCCATTTGCTAGGTATTTGACCTAAAATAATTGTTTGACCTCCCTGTTCCTCTTTGTTCTCATTAGTAAAAATGATAGCAGTAAAAGGACCTGCCTCATGAAATTATTGTAAAAAGAGCACTCCTTGTTAAGTCATCCCTCGCACAATGCACATACTCTGCAAATGTTAGCTGCTGCTGTTGATGACTGCACAGTACCTGCTTAACACGTATTAGTAGAGTGAACAGGGTGGGTGTGGTGGTTCACGCCTGTAATCCCAGCACTTCGGGAGGCCAAGGTGGGTGGATCACCTGAAGTCAGGGGTTTGAGACCAGCCTGACTAATGTAGTGAAACCCCATCTCTACTAAAATTATAAAAATTAGCTGGGCATGGTGGTGGGCACCTGTAATCCCAGCTACTCAGGAGGCTGAGGTGGGAGAATTGCTTGAACCCAGGAGGTGGACATTGCAGTGAGCCAAGATTGTGGCATTGCATTACAGCCTGGGCAACAAGAGTGAAACTCTGTCTCAAAAAAATAAAAAAACAAAGTAGAGTGAACAATAAATTAGTTTTATTCATTCAAGGAACACTTCTGCTATGTCATGGGGTGTTTTTGGGATTATGCATAGGAGCTGAGAGAACAGGCAAGCCGTCCTCGGAAACCCGTTTGGATGATGGCGGGCAGAACTGCAGCTCTGCAGAGAGAGACGCCAGCCAGCGTGCAGAAGTGGAAGGTGAGCATAATAGAAGGCAGAGTTTATATTCGGTACTGATTCTGTGCTAAGTGCTGTGACCCATTTTTCTATTTTGCCTTTCAAAAATTACTAATCCATTTATGTGAAGTTTATTATGAAACACTTCTTAGGGCTCCTGGTTACACCAACCTTCTTGATACTAGAGAAATGGCACATGACCCATTCCTGCTGGAATACGCCTTAGCTTCTACTCCACACCTGGTTAGGAACTGCCCATCTTCAGCTCCCAACTGAAATGGCATTGCCTTGGTGAAGCCTCACATGACCCTGGCAGGATGTTCCAGATCTCCCTGGAATATGTAGCTTTTCATGCCTTTTACCCTGTCTTTCTGGCATACATCACATCTTACATTAATTCAAATGAATAATGAATCTTTCTTTTTCATTAATTCAAATGAATAATGAATCTTTCTTTTTATTTTTTTCTTTCTCTTTTTTTTGAGGCAGAGTCTCATTTGCTCTGTCTACCCAGGCTGGAGTATAGTGGTGTGATCTCGGCTCACTGCAACCTCTGCCTCATGGGTTCAAGTGATTCTCCTGCATCAGCCTCCCCAGTAGCTGGGATTACAGGTTGCACCACCATGCCTGGCTAATTTCTTGTATTTTTAGTAGAGATGGGGTTTTACCATGTTGGCCAGGTTGGCCTCGAACTCCTGACCTCAAATGATCCACCAGCCTCTGCCTCCCAAAGTGCTGGGATTAACAATCATGAGCCAGGGCGTCCATCCCATTGGCTTTCTTAAGGGTCTGGTTCAACAACACCAACAAAAGCCAGGAAATTTGAGATAAAAGAAACATTAAACAAGAGTATTTTAATGATCACTTGATAAAAAACATCATTCAGCACTTTGTTGTTCTCAATAAAATGAGAATGTCTTTCATTTTATTTTATTTAATTTTTAAAGACAGAATCTTGCTCTATCACTCAGCTGGAATGCAGCGGCACCATTCCAGCTTACTGCAGCCTCAAACTCCTGGCTCAAGGGATCCTTCAGCCTCAGCCTCCTGATTAGCTAGGACTACAGGTGAGCACCATCATGCCCTGCTAATTTCTAATATTTTCATAGAGATGGAGTTTTGCTGTGTTGCCCAGGCTAAGAATAACTTTAATTCATCATGAGCTATACTACTGGTTTACAATTTTTGATTATTTATGCCAATGTTTTCCAGTAGGGCTTCATAGAAAATTAACTGAAAGTCTGATGACATTCAGAGAGTTAAAAAAAAAATCACACTGATGATGTCTTAGCAAAAGTAGGGAAATGATCAAAAGAAGCTATTGTTTTGCCACTATGAAAAGCAGAACTGCTTCTGAAACTGCCTTTGCAAAATTATGACTGAGTTGGTGAAAGAGATCTAACTTAATCGACTCCATCTTGCTTCTAACCTCCAAGCTGTTCTTGTTCATTCCTGGGTGTAGGCTAAACTAACTTTGGGAGAGACTCAGTTTATAGTTATAGTTTAAACAAAGATAATAACAGCTCTTTCCCAAAGCAAACCTCCTTCTTGCCTGGAGACTAGACTGCCTTTGTGGGACTAACAAATTAGCCACAAGATTAGAAATTAAGGTTTAGGAGTCATGCAGAATCTGGAGGCTACAAGATTCTGACTCCAGCTAAACTGCTCCTAAGATCAGTACTTGAGATATTTTGTAGAGCCTGGACTTGATGGATCATTTGGCATCACCCAGATCGATTAACTGGCTCATCTGATCTTGTGGCCCCCACCCAGGAACTGACTCAGTGCAGGAAGACAGCTCCGACTCCCTATGATTTCATCACTGACCTGACCAATCAGCACTCCTGGCTCACTGGCCTCCCCCATCCATCAGGTTGTCCTTCCCTGCTTCCCAAATGTTGGGGAGACTGATTTGAGTAACAGTAAAACTCCAAAGAAAAAAGCCTGAAAGACAAAAGCAAAGCAAAACAAACAAACCAACAAAATCCCTCCAGTCTCCCGCACAGCTGGCTCTATGTCAATTACTCTTTCTCTTCTGCAATCCCCCTGTCTTGATAAATCGGCTCTGTCTAGGCGGCAGGCAAGGTGAAACCTTTGGGCGGTTGCCCTTCTGATGGGAGATATCAGAATAATCAATGAGAAGTTTGAATTCAAAGACATATTGTAAGACACTTATTAAGTCCGATTGTGAAGAGACCTATTTCAAACAGAAGGTAAAGTCAAATCTCTCATCTGGAATTTGGAATTTTCCTACCCTTAACAAATGAATATTTCAACTAGGGATAAGATTTTTCATAAGGGTATATGAAAGGTATATTTGCCATTTGAGATTAGATGTAAGAAGAATAAACTGAAATTACATTATTGATAAAGTTACTGCAAGATCTTTTAACATGAATTGAGTCATAAAGAAAAGTTTGCAAAAGAAAATTCTTCTGAACCAATGCTCAACCTAAAAAATAAGAGCTTGTCTCAAGGGCTGAAAATGGAAGAGAGTAACAAATGAGAATAAAAATGAAACAAAAACAGAACTTTAGAATAGAATGGAAGTGTATTTTAACATCTCCGTCCTTACAATTTTTTTTTTGAGACTGAGTCTTGCTTTATTACCCAAGCTAGAGTGCACTGGAGTGATCTTGGCTCACTGCAACCTCTGCCTTCTAGGTTCAAGTGATTCTCATGCCACAGCCTCCAAGCAGCTGGGACTACAGGTGCCCTCCATGATGCCTGGCTAATTTTTGTATTTTTAGTAGAGATGAGGTTTCACCATGTTGGTCAGGCTCGTCTTGAACTCCTGACCTCAAGTGATCCACCTGCCTCAGTCTCCTGAAGTGTTGGGATTACAAACATGAGACATGGCATTCAGCCTCCATTCTTTAAAATTTTTTAAGTTTCCTCTTTTGTTCTTTTTATGTCTTTGACATTTTAATTTACAAACATAACTCAAGAACTTTATTTCTTTTACAGAAAAGCATCTTTCTGAACTCTTTATCTAAAGCAATCAGTTTCGGTAAACTGTATTCTCCTAGAAAATTGTCCATTTCACCTACTTTTTCAAATTATTTGTACAGAGGTCTAAAAAGTAGTTTCATTAAAATTTTTTTCTATTTGAATTATTATTTCTGTTATGTCATTAGTTTTGTGTATTTGTACTTGGGTTTTTTCTCCTCAGTTATGTTAGTTAGCTAGTGCTGTAACTGCCCAATGGATTCACCTTGCCCATAGGCAGCCAATTTAACAAGACAGGGGAATTGCAACAGATAAAGGGTAGTTCGTGCAGAGCCAACTGTGTGAGAGACTGAAGTTCTATTATTACTCAAATCAGTCTCCCTGAGCATTTGGAAATCAGAGTTTTTAAGGAAACTTGGTGGGTCAGGGGAAGCCAATGAGTCAGGAGTGCTGATTGGTTAGGTCAGCGATGAAATCATGGGAAGCTGAAGCTGTCCTCTTGTGCTGAGTGAGTTCCTGTGATAGGTCCTCAAGATCAGATGAGCTAGTTAATCAATCTGTGTGGTGCCAGCTGATCCATCAAGTTCAGGGTCTGCAAAATATCTTAAGTACTATCTTAGGAGCAGTTTAGAGGGGGTCATAGTCTTGTAACCTCCAGCTGCATGAGGCCTAAACCATAATTTATAATCTTTGGCTAATTTGTTAGTCCTATAAAGACAGTCTAGTCTCCAGACAAGAGGGAGGTTTGTTTTGGGAAAGGCTGTTACTGTCTTTGTTTTAAACTATAAACTGAGTTCCTCCCAAATTTAGTTCAGCCTACACCCAGGAAGGAACAAGGACAGCTGAGAGGTTAAAACCAAGATGGAGTTGGTTAAGTTCGATTTCTTTCACTGTCTCAGTCATAATTTTGCAAAGGCAGTTTTAATGCTTTGTCTATTTTGTTGATACTTGAAACAACCAATATTTTGTTTACCTAATTAGATCCACTGTTTTCTGTTCTCTTTCATTAATTTCTGTTTTCATATTTATTATTTTTATGAAAGAGGTTAAAAATTAAAATGAAGCCACTTATGTCAGACTCTGACAAAATGGAGCCAGGAAAGGCCATGAAGGGAAGGTTCTCATGCCTGTATGAAGAGTATTAGAAAAGACTGCAAAAACCACACTTTGCACAAAGCCCACTGAAACCTTCCATAAATATTTTTGTGAGAACATCTGCCCAACAACTGCTTGTCCAACCTTAGACCAATGCTACCCTTGTTATCAATCCCTATAGCCAAGGATACTTGCTTCAGAAACACAGATGTGCTTTTGATTTAAAAACCCTTCTTTTCCTTTACCTCTGTGAATACATTCACAGTTTACCATGGCATTGTGTTCCACGTTAAAATGCCTACTTCTGAACAAACTTATGCCTTTTAAAAATAAAATAAAAATAAAGACAAAGTCTCACTCTGTCACCCAGGCTGGAGTGCAGTGATGTGATCATGGCTCACTGCAGCCTTGATCTCCCAGGTTCAAGTGATCTTCCTACCTCAGCCTCCCAAAGTGCTGGGATTACAGGCATGAGCCACTGTGCCCAGCTAAACTTATCTTTGGAGAATCTCTGACTGTTATTTAGGTTGACATGTCTTTTTTTTTTTTTAATTGTACCTTAGGTTCTGGGGTACATGTGCCGATCATGCAGGATTGTTGCATAGTTACATACATGGCAATGTGGTTTGTTGCCACCATTCCCTTGTCACTTATATCTGGCATCTCTTCCCATGTTATCCCTCCCTAACCTCCCCATCACCCCCCGCTGTCCCTCTCCTGGCCTCTCCCAACAGACCCCAGTGTGTGATGCTCCCTTCCTTGTGTCCATGTGTTCTTCTTGTTCAACACTCACCTATGAGTAAGAATATGAGGTGTCTGATTTTCTGTTATTGTGTCAGTTTGCTGAGAATGATGGTTTCCAGATTCATCCATGTCCCTACAAAGGACACAAACTCATCATTTTTTATGGCAGCATAGTATTCCATGGTGTATATGTGCCACATTTTCCTTGTCCAGTCTATCGTTGATGGGCATTTGGGTTGGTTCCAGGTCTTTGCTATTGTAAACAGTGCCACAATGAACATACATGTACATGTGTCTTTATAATAAAAAGGTTTATAATCCTTGGGATATATACCCAGCAATGGGATTGCTGGGTCAAATGTAATTTCTATTTCTAGGTCCTTGAGGAAGTGCCACATTGTCTTCCACAATGGCTGAGCTAATTTAAACTCCCACCAACAGTGTAAAAGTGTTCCTATTTCTCTACATCCTCTCCAGCATCTGTTGTCTCCAGATTTTTGAATGATCGCCATTCGAACTGGTGTGAGGTGGTATCTCAATGTGGTTTTGATTTGCATTTCTCCAATAACCAGTCTTGCTCTGTCACCCATGCTGGAGGGCAGTGTTGTGATCTTGGCTCACTGCAACCTACGCCTTCTGGGTTCAAGGGATTTTCCTGCCCACTGCAACCTATGCCCTTCTGGGTTCAAGGGATTACTCAGTGATCTTGACTCACTGCAACCTATGCCCTTCTGGGTTCAAGGGATTACTCAGCCTCCTGAGTAGCTGGGACTACAGATGTATGCCACCATGCCTGGAGCCTGGCATTTTTGTATTTATTTTTATTTCTCCATATTGGCCAGGATGATCTTGAACTCTTCACCTCAGGTGATTCACCCACCTTGGCCTCCCAAAGTGCTGGGATTACAGGCATGAGCCGCCACACCTGGCCTAGACTGTGAGTTTTTAATGGTATTCTTTAATACCCACTTAACATTGAATATTAGCCAGGCGTGGTGGCTCATGCTTGTAATCCCAGCACTTTGGGAGGCAGGCGGATTACTTGAGCTCAGGTTTTTGAGACCAGCCTAGGCGACATGGTGGAACCCCGTCTCTACTAAACGTACAAAAATTAGCCGGACATATTGGTGGGTGCCTGTAATCCCAGCTACTTGGGAGGCCGAGGCAGGAGAATTGCTTGAATCACAAAGGTAGAGGTTGCAGTGAGCAGAGATTGTGCCACTACACTCCAGCCTGGCTGACAAAGTGAAACTGTCTCAAAACAACAAAGCAACAACAGCACAAAACATTGATTGTTAACTTCAGCATTAATCAGTGAAACTAATCTACTTTCCTTACTTCCCATATTTTATTGCATCATTTCTTTGTCAGGACGTATTTAAATATTACTCTTCATCTTGTTGTCACTTTTGTTTTAGTTTTAAATCTTCAATTAAATATATGAAGTGCTCACCATTCCTTCTTCCATTCCTTCTTTAATTGTCTCTTGTTTGGATGAACTCAGTCTCAGCAGATTCTTCCTAATTGTGTGACTATGGGTGAGCTACCTAAGTCTGAGCCTATTTCCTGATCCACAGGAGATAATAATATCACCAATCTCCTGAAAAAAATCAGGCGCTATGATGAAATGAGGTAATCCGCTTTGGAAGTTGTCCTACACATAGTAAGCACTACATATCAGCCATTGTTGTTGTTAGTAATAGTGAACCTCATGTTGGACTTTGCTTGCTTTTTCCTAAATGCTAATTGACATTGGAAGCCCCAAATCCGAAGTACAAGAACTTATTACCATGTTAAAGTTCAATCTAGAGATTAGTACATTTGGCTCAGTGTATCTGTGGGTTCTGCATCTGTAGATTCAACTAACCACGGACTGGCAATATTAAGAATAAAATAACAATACTACAATAAAAGTAATATGAATTAAAAAACAGTAGACAATAAATTGAAAAATACAGTATGACAACTATATGCATAGCATTTACATTGCATATTATAAGTAAACTAGAGATGATTTAAAGTATATGGAGGGATGTGTGTGAGTTATATGCAAATACTACTTTTTTTTTTTTTTTTGAGATGGAGTTTCGCTCTTGTTGCCCAGTGCTCAGGCAACCTCCATCTCCCAGGTTCAAGTGATTCTCCTGTTTCAGTTTCCCAAGTGGCTGGGATTATAGGCATTCGCCACCACGCCCAGCTAATTTTGTATTTTTAGTAGAGACGGAGTTTCTCCATGCTGGTCGGGCTAGTCTCAAACTCTCAACCTCAGGTGATCCGCCCACCTCAGCCTCTCAAAGTGGTGGGATTATAGGTGTGAACCACTGCCCCCAGCCAAATACTACATTTTTTATATAAGGTACTTGAGCATCCATAGATTTTAGTATCCTTGGGGGTCCTGGAACCAATCTCCTCCCATACTGAGGAAGGAATGTACACAGAAAAAGTCAAGATGTGATATAGGGGATATAGGGGAGGAGGCAGTGGACTGAAATGTGAAATGTCAAGAACGGGTTAGAGCTTAGAAGAAAAACTGAAGAATAAGAAAAAGGCATATTTTCATGTTTGCAGAGCTCAATCAGGCCAGAAAAGACATTTGAATCAACATAGGATTAGTATAGATTGGAAGTTTACATGAAGAACTGTTTCAAGTTGTCCTTAAACAAGGCACTGGATTAGATTATATTGAGATTTATTTTAAGAGACTAAAATCTCTTAAAATCATCAAGGCCTTTGAGCTGTTGCTCTGCCCGCGCCCACACGGTGGAGTGTACTTTCGTTTTCAGAGGAAGAGGAACCGTAGCATGAAGCAGTGGGCATGGAAGGTTTTCATGGATTAGGACTGGAATTGGCACATATGTGTTTGGATTCTGTTAAATAAAACACAGCCCCATGGGCAGCCCTGACTGGGAAAAATGATCTATTTTTATGCCCTCATATGAAAAGGAGATGGATCTGGTGAGTGCTGGAAATCACCGCATCCAACTGGAGACTTAAAGTTGGCAGTTGAACTACGAGTCTAAAGCACAGAGAAGTCTGCACTGGAGATCTAAATATGGGAAATAAACAACATAAGATAGTATTTAAAAGTATGCAACAGGGAGAGATTCTAGATAGACAAAGCTGAGGATCAAGTGAGTACCAACATCTCTGAACAAGGTAAACTCATAAGAGACAAAAGTAGAATTGGATGTCGGCTGACTCGGCACCATCGGATAGAGACAAGTCAAATAAGAAGAGAAAGAAAACTTTTGGAAGACTGGAACGAAGAACTGATTTGTGGGCATATGGAGTATGACGTGCCCATGAAGTATCCAAATGGAGGTGCTGAGGAAGAAACAAGATAGATGAACGTGGGCTTCAGAAGATAAATCTGCCCCGAATATACACATTTAGAAGCTATTGACATATGTGTAATAAATAAAGGCAAGGAAGTGGATTAGAAGGTCAAGAAAGAGCATGGAGAATGAGAAGAAGAAGCCTTAGAACTGAGTCTGGAGAAACTCCAACTGTTCAATTAATGAGAGAAAGTAAAGCAGTGTGAGGGGGAAAGGCCAAAGGGTTAGGAGAAAAGCTAAGAGGATGTGATGTCAAGAAATCCAAAAGAAGACTGTTTAAAAGAGGCAGAAGTGGTCAACTATCTTGCTGCTAAAAAGGTTGAGACTCATGAGCCTGAAGGATTTGACAACATAGAGGCCATCAGCCTCCCAGAGGATGTTGTTGTGCCCTGCCCAGATGCCCTTTACCAGGCACTTACATCTCCGCTTCTGATACTTTGAATGTTGTTTGCTAAAGGCCCCAGTGTCTCCCTTTTCTAAAGAATTGTCATTGTCCAAATGGGGGAAGTTGCATCCCCTCCCCCGCTACCCACCTCCCCCGACCACCTGCACAGTGTGCTGGGAAATCTTTAGCAACCAGCTTTCTGGGAAAAAATTATTTTGTATCTATCTACTTATATCTTCCCTTACCCTTCCCTTTCCTCTTCCCCTGACTTCCCTTCTTTTTTTTTAAATTATAAATGTTACTGGTATAAAGGTTGCATAGTATACAATTTACCAATAATAATAATCAAATACTTTATCTAAATTCTATATGGCCAACGGATTTGCATAGAATGCTCTCCCCTTCCCCCCAAACTCTTGTATTCGTAGCCTACTGACATACTCAACTGGTGAACAAATGCAGTTCTTACACAAATGCTGGTGAATATTTTTGTTTATGTTAATGAGTAGTATAAAATGAAACAATAAGAAAAAAATAAATAAAATAAAACATTAAAATGTGTTGATTGCTTTATTTTATTTCATAAATCAAATTACAGATGTAGTATAGTACATGTATTTTATGTTTCAACTAAGGAAAAATCCTTAGGTAATTCACATATTCTGATGTGAATTTTGTTTCATTTTATCCCCACCCCCGCCTTTTTTTTTTTTCAGATGAAGTCTCACTCTGTCGCCCAGGCTGGAGTGCAGTGGCACAATCTTGGCCCACTGCAGCCTCCACCTCCCAGTTTCAAGCAATTCTCCTACCTCAGCCTCTCGAGTAGCTGGGATTACAGGCACGTGATACCATGCTCAAATAATGAGATTTCACCATGTTGGCCAGGCTGATCTTGAATTCCTGACCTTATGTGATCCACGCATCTTGGCCTCCCGAAATGCTGGCATTACAGGCGTGAGCCATCATGCCCGGCCTATTCACATATTCTGATGTGAATTTTATTTCACAAATGTGTTTTTATTTGTGAAATAAAATGATTGGATGGACTGAGCTCCACATCAGACTGTAATCTTTATTAACTCTACCTCTGATATTCTATGACATTAAAGAAAAAACCACTTTGTTTCCCTAAGAAAATGTCTATGGTAGAGTAGAAATAGTAACATAGCAATATCCTTCTGAATGGGCTTTCCTCAGTGGAAGATCACTTAGAGTTTAATGGGATTAATTTTGCTGACATATTCAAATTTTTTTTTTTTTTGAGACAGAGTTTCACTCCATCACTAGGTGCCAGGTTGGAGTGCAGTGGCACGACCTTGGCTCACTGCAACCTCTGCCTCCCAGGTTCAAGCAATCCTTCTGCCTCAGCCTCCCAAGTAGCTGGGACTACAGGCATGTGTCACCACGCCCAACTAATTTTTGTACTTTTGGTAGAGACAGGGTTTCAACATGTTGCCTAGGCTGGTCTCAAAAACCTGAGCTCAAGTAATCCGCCTGCCTCAGCCTCCCAAAGTGCTGGGATTACAAGCATGAGCCACCACGCCTGGCTAATATTCAATGTTAAGTGGTGTTAAAGAATACCATTAAAAACTCACAGCCTAGGCCTGGTGTGGTGGCTCATGCCCGTAATCGTAGCACTTTGGGAGGCCGAGGCGGGCGGATCACGAGGTCAAGAGATTGAGACATACTCAATTTTAAAAGAAATTTTTGTGCTTGTGCCAGGCATCGTGGATCTTCACAGGCAGGAAAGCTCAACTCCTGCCGATTTCACATGGGAGTACAGCTCCTTAAGTCATGACTCTGGCTGAGAAGTTGTCCACAGATGCTGGTTGCTGAGCTGAAGAATCCATGGTGCAAATAGAGGTTCCTGGGCTCCCCTGTTGAGCAAATCCCATTTGTCCTTCAGGCTGCACCAGCCCTGACTCTGGGCTCCTCTTCCCAATCTATAATGAAAGGACAAACAGATTTAGGGGGCATCAATATTTCTCCACCTTGGAACTTACACAGAGAACAAGTTTTTTTTTGAGAGGGTTTACTCTGTCACCCACGCTAGAGTGCAGTGGTGTGATCTCGGTTCACCACAACCTCTGCCTCCCAGATTCAAGCGATTCTCCTGCTTCAGCCTCCCAAGTAGCTATCATGTGCCACCACACCCGGCTAATTTTTGTATGTTACAAAATTAGAGATGGGGTGTCGCCATGTTGGCCAGGCCTCGGGTGATCTGCCCACCTCGGCCTCCCAAAGTGCTGGGGTTAGAGGCATGAGCCACTGCACCCGACCTGAAGACAGATTTTATACTAAATATGTTCATTCCAAAAGGCAAAGCAAAATCTTTCTATCACAGACGCAGCTTTGACAGCCGCGTGATGTCCCCCCCCTCTGACCCTTCCCTTCCTGCATCTTCAGGATTGAGCGGGATCAGCTTTCTGTCGGTGGTGCTGGTGTTCTCAGCAGCGACTGCTCTTTTATCTTCCCTCCTAAGCGGCAGGGCCATTCCTTTTTTAACTCCAGGAGCTTTTAAGCTTTTGCATTTTACTGCTCTTCCTATGAGCAAGGAATGGCCTTGAGGACTGAGGACAGGGAAACTAAAAATAATTAGGGTCAACCCCGTAGAAGCGGATCCCACTGGAATTCCAAATAGCTTTTGCCCTTACACTAGAAAATATCTCCAATTAGCTAGGTAGATTCCATTTTTATCTTTTCTCGAAAGCCATGGGTGAAGAACGGCATACCAGAATAGAACGCGTACTGATTCATGGAACACATTTCTGTAACTGCCATGTTTTGAACATTGAACTTAGTGGATTTGAAAAGGCCTTGGCAAGGAATAGAGGCGTGCTGATGGCATCAAACTACCTACCGGCCTGGAAGTAGATGGAACCTGGCTCTGGAAGGCAATACTGAAGTGGCTAAGACTTAGGCTTTAGACTCAGACTGCTTTTATCGAGGCCCTGCTTATTATACATATATATGTGTTACCTGGGACAGGTACTTAATCTCTTTATAGCTTAATCTTCCCATTGTATGTTCTCACTTATAACTGGGAGCTTAAAAGTGCATGCACATGAACACAGAGAGTGGAAAAACACACATTGGAGACTCAGAAGTGTGGGAGGCGGGGTGAGGGATAAGAAATTCTCTAACGGGTACAATGTACACTAGGCAGGTGATGTTTACACTAAAAGCTTCCACTTTACAACCATGCAATATATCCATGTATGAAAACTGCATTTGTGCCCCTGAAAAACATCAACAGCTGGGCATGGTGGCTCACGACTGTAATCCCAGCATTTTGGGAGGCCCAAGGCAGGCGGATCACGAGGCCAATATGGTAAAACCCAGTCTCTACTAAAAATGCAAACATTGGCTGAGTGTGGTGGCACATGCCTTTAATCCCAGCTACTCAGGAGGCTGAGGCAGGAGAATCACTTGAACTTGAGAGGCAGAGATTGCAGTGAGCTGAGATAGTGCCACTGCACTCCAGCGTGGTGACACAGCAGGACTCAGTCTCAAAAAAAAAAAACCACAGCAAAAATTCTATGTCCAATAGTATCTACTTCATAAATTTATAGTAAGGATTATTTATTTATTTATTTATTTTGAGATAGGGCCTCAGTCAGACACCCAGGCTGGAATGCAGTGGCAGACCTCTGTTCACTGCAGCCTCTGCCTCCTGGTTCAAGCAATTCTCCTGCTTCTGGCTAATATTTGTATTTTTAGTGGAGACAGGGGTGTCACCATATTGGCCAGGTGGGTCTCAAACTCCTGACCTCAAGTGGCCTGCCTGCCTTTGGCCTCCCTCCAAAGGGATTACAGGCATGAGCCACCACAACTGGCATATGAAGTAATTTAGATGTTCAATACACATCACTTATTATTAAGGACCAGACAAATCTTCCTTACCTCTGTATCTTATCCCCAAATCCAAGCTTCTTGGCTCCAAGTTAAATATTTTATAGCCTAAATTAGATTGGTGGAAGGGGTGAGGGAAAGAAAAAGTAAGCTCACAGAGACTTCACAAAGAAAAAATAGTCAGGGCAAGGTAAATCCTTTGATGAAGGGTGAGGGTGAAATGAAAGGTAATTTGTAGGTTTGGAACTTCAGAGACAAAGATGCTGGTCATACTATAGAGTGCACAGTGCAGAGAGAAAAATGCTGTGAGATAAACATAAGGAGTTTAATTGTGGATATATTGACACTGGTGCATATTGGAGTATCTAGCGCAAAACAACAAGCAGGTAAATGCAGAAACGGAGAAAGTACATTTTTTGTTTACTTCTAGAAATGACTAAAAGAACTGTAATATAACTTTAGTGACTTTATTTTTAGATACTTTTCTCTAGATTTGTAATAGCATACAATTTGTTTATTTTTGTCCACCAGCATTTGAAGGCATTTTAAACTAAACTTTTAAATTATGATTGTGGAGGATCTTTGCATTATAATTTTGGCAGGGGATACGTTTTGTTGTTTTCCCCTAAGAATTTTGCCATTATCTAAGTATGTTTTGATCTTTATTTTAACTTAAGTAGCAGAGTTTATATTTCATTGGAACCTGGGTGTTCTAACTACACAGCAATGTGTTCATTTCTTATTGCTTCATTGGTTAGCAACTCAGAAATCTCCCAAAATGGAAGTCCATTAGGAAAATCTCTCCCTCTTAAAAGAGATGTTCTGAGGATGATCCTATTAGGCTAGAAGGCTGCTAAACTTATCAACTCTAGATACATTTTTTTTTCTACAAAGGGGAGAAAAAAATCTGGAGTGAATGACAAATAAATGTTGATAGAAAATGTATATTTAACTTTAGGAAATAATAATCACATTCTATTCAAATGTCAGTTTTATGCCAGGAAATATTTGATGACCTTTTAAGATCTAATCTTGATACAGTTAGATAAAAAGTAAAGAAAAAAAAATCAGTCAACTTTAAATATTAGGATCAATGTGTTTTTTAAAATAGTCATATATATTTTTAAAAAGAGGAAAATCATCTTTTATACATTTGTATATATTTGGTAACTGATGCTCTTTATTATTTCCTAAAGGTTTAGATTTTCATCTCATTTCAGCATTTTTGACAGTGAGGGTCTGTAGGTTATACAATATTTTCTCTTATCTGAAAGTTTATAGTTTCATCCAAAAGAGAAAAATTTTTCCCTTATCTGAAAATGTCTTTATTTGACCTTGATATTTTTTTTTTTTTTTGAGACAGAGTGTTGCTCTATTGAGCAGACTGGAGTGCAGTGGCGTGATCTCTACTCACTGCAACCTCTGCTTCTCAGGTTCAAGCTATTCTCCTGCCTCAGCCTCCCAAGTAGCTGGGATTACAGGTGCACACCACAATGCCTGGCTAATTTTTGTATTTTTAGTGGAAACGTGGTTTCACCATGTTGGTCAGGCTGGTCTCAAATTCTTGATCTCGTGATCCACCCACTTCAGCCTCCCAAAGTGCTGGGATTACAGGCCTGAGCTACCATGCCTGGCCTTGACCTTGATTTTTTAAGCTATTTTTGCTGAAGACAAAACTTTTTCATTGAGTTAAAAAAATTATTTC